AGTTCCTGGGACTCGTTTTGCAGCCCGAGCCATGTCCTCCGTATGCAGTCCCAAGGGAGCCTGAAAATCGTGCCCGGGTCTGGAAACGAGCGTTTCTGGACGAGAAGCAGCACCTCTGCTAACAGGAGCACATGGCACGGGCTCCAAGCGTCTCCTTTGAGACCTGTTGGGCAGCTTCAGCTACAGGGGGTGGCCCGAAACCGCGCTTCTGGCCAGCTGAGCCGCCTTCCCAGCTGAGCTTCCCGGAGCCATCCTGGCAGGATGACCCCGGTAATTGCCAACACCTCCCTCCTCCCCTCTGCCTTTTTAACAGCGGGTCGGTGGCGTTATTCTTGGGGTAGAGCAAGCAGAGAAATCTCCCCCGGGCTTCTTACGCCTGGTGGAGATCTACGGCTTGCCTCGCAGCGCGGTGTTAGCTTTCGTAACAGCAACGCCTCGTTGTGTCAACATGTCTCATTAGGTAATAAAGACTCGCAGCTATTTGATTTTACTTAAAGTTAGCAGCCTTCATGATTTCTTTCTTGCTCGTTAAAGAGGGAATTGTTCTAGTATTCCAACAGGCACTGAGTCATGCCTAATGAAGGGAAAAATATATTAGCAACTTACGGTGGGACCCTCGTACTGCAAGGAGCTGCTCTTGAAAACTTTGGGGATCGGATTCCTCACACGTTTTTGGAAAGGGCAAGGAATCATTCGAAACCTTCACAACAATTCCCTAAACTGTGTCTCACAGCCTGGGTCAGCCCATTCCAAGCAAATGTGTCGACACAGATGGTGGAGAGGAAAACAGGGGCGCCTGCGAGAGGCACGGGCGGCCTAGGATGGAACACAGACGCAGCAAGCCGAGCCAAAACCCCAACGCCAGCCCTGCTTCCTTCAGCTCCTCTGCGTGCTGCATTTCTTCCCCCCCTCCCGCGAGGACCGGGCTGTTCCTGGGACTCCAGCCTCCTGCTCCTCGCCGGCTGCGTGGCGGCAGCTGCGGAGGATGCTGGGCCACTGTTTGTAAACACTTGGCCACGTGCGCGCGGCCGCGTGGAGAGTCATCGTCCCGAGGAGCTGCGGGGCGAGCACGCTGCCGCCTGATCCTTTTCCAGCGCAACTCGACTTCAAGCAGCTCGTGCCAGGACATTTGGAAGATGAGGCTCAGCCTGTTTGCGTGTTATTAGAAAGAAGACGAAGCAGAGGAGTTGTTTCAGTCACCAACACGTGGATTTGGGGATAGCGTAGCTCTCGAGGAGAAGCGAATGCAGAAGCCATTACTCTCTTTACGTGTCTGCAAAAAGTCCTGCTCCGACCTGGAGGCTGCTCCTCCCCCAGACACACACTGGTGAAACCCATATTCGTACCCTGGGAACCCACGTGGAATATGGTCAAGGTCAGAAGCAATAACGGGGAACACATGAAGGTATTTCACGTTGCTTAAATTGCACCGTAGTAATTAATCACAAAATGGCAAGGCCACTGCCCTGTACACGTGGAAAACACTTCCAAGGGGTGCCTCTTGCTTATCTTGGCTGTCAAGCCACTCACCTGCTGCTCACTGCTTTGCTACCGCGTGCAAGAGGAACACAAACACTTCTTCCAAATACAACATGCTTTTAATAAAAAAATAACCCATTTCTCATGTAGAAACTCTTTTTGGATCTAACAGTCATGTTCTCATCCAGGACTACGGAAGCTTTTTCACAGTGCGATCTTGATAGGAAAGCTTGGAAAGTTTTCCCCCACTTTTCCAGTAAGTGGTGGAGCAGGACAGCATCGCACAGACTTGTGGAAGCACTGGCCTTTGCCTCATCATGGAATTTCTACTTGTTGCTTCAGCAATCAAACATGTTTCTGAAGAAACATACCTTTTGTACGCAAGGTACATGGAGAAACTGTCTTAAAAGACATGCTTTGCATGGGTAAGATTAACATGCTGAACTTCCCTGTCTTGTTGAACTTGGGTATAGGACAAGTCTGTTCCTCTGCACACTGCGATAGAAATGCTGCACGGTAGTTGCTGTTTTTAAAAGACAAGGTTAAAAAAAATAATAATAAAGGAAGCACACCAAGAATAAGGGCAAACTGAAGCCTCGATACTGCAAGCTTTTATTTATTCGTCAGAATAATCGAATAATCTTACTGGGGTTTCTCGCCATACGTATGCTACACAGCTCTCCAGCCTGGAACCCACAGCTCCACAGAAAACTTTGTTCTTGAAGGAGAACCTGAATCCTGCTCAGGCTGCTAAGATGATTCAGCTTTTTGGAAGGTGTTTGACAGAGGTGAACACGCCTGCTTGAAAAGATAGACAGCAGTTTAAATCTTTAAGTCTTTTAATTGTTGAAGTGCATCGCAAAGCACAGCAACTCTGTCTGAGTTGCCTCCTGATGTAAAACCTGTTGTGGTGAACAACTAGCAGAGCCTTCCCCTTGTGGGGCAGGGCGTTTCTGCTCCTTCCTTCCATCCTATGTGGAAGGAATTAGCTGCTAGTTGTTCGTCCGCTTCAAACCTTGTTTTTCTCCACCTTCCTCCTGCTAGCCCCTGCTGTGTAACGTGAGCCATATTCCCAGCATTTTAATCCCAACAACTTTTCGTGCCAGTCGTGTCAGCTGTCCTTGGGATTAGTCCAGCTGATGCGGGAGGCTCGCGGCTTCGCTCCTTAACCCCACCACCTCTGCCTCCCCACGCTGAGCAACGCCTTGGGAAAGGGGTGGGTTTTTTAAGAGCCTTGCCTACCCTGAGGGAAGGCAGAAGCGATTTCTTTTCAATGGGTGGCTGAGAAGATGATTACTCATGGTACTTTCCATTTCTGACATTTTATTATCTAGGATATTGGGACAAGCTATGCAAATTGGAGACGTAACCAGTGACGATCTGAAAGTGTACTGGCATGAACTGCAGCAACTTGTTTCTAGTTACTTGTTCAGGGTTTAAAAGGATACATTTCCTGCAGAATATCATTAAATGAGTAAGAAGGTATTCACTGCCTTACAGAGAATGGGATCAGAATAATGCTTCAAGTGTGATTGATTCATATAATTCCCTTTTTGGCTTTCAGCCATGATGCAGTCATATGCTTTATCTCCGTTCAGACTACAGCTTTTTTTTTTTTTTTTTAAGTAATGAATCATAGTACATCCCACTCCATTTCAGAACCAGCACATCGCATCTCAGAATGATGTCACAACACTTACTGCTGCTGGCTGGCTGACTGCCTCAGCAGCAATCAGGGAGCTGGACTAAATAAATACCGTATATTATTTGGCAAAATCATTTGTGGTTGTGTTCTCCAGCGCCGTTTCCAAGATAACCACCAACTCTACTTGAAACTTGGCAACTTTGTTCCACCACTTTCAGGCTCCAGTTGTGGAGCTGGCTTACAGATGCTGCTACCACGCTTAGAGCTACTGTGTGGCAGTCAGGCGGGAGCGGTAGAAGGGTCACCACGATAAGCCAAATTTGACAGCTCATCCGAAATCCCGCCGTGAAAAGTGGACAACGTAAAAACAGCTCGCGTCTCTTGCTCCTGCAGCAGCCAAATATCTACCACTCAGAACGAAACGCAGCGAGTGATTTAAAGCCACCGCTTCAGCACGCGCTGTGAAAGCCACTCCGCTGCCATGTATTCACACGTAACTCGGAGGCAAGCTAGAAGTGAAACACTCCTGATAGTCCCAAACAGGGATGGTAACATCGTTCCAACCCAAACCTCACGTTTCTCAACATCTGAGCAGCAGGTTTGCTCCAAAACATATTTTTTCCCCATGGAACCATTTGGCTGTTACAAACTTATAAAGGAACCGCGAGTGGGACTGCATCCCACCAGCACCTGAAGTGCTTGGGGTGAGAGGATGGTCCCTTCACCCCCGGCAGCAGCCGGAGCCTCCCGATCCCGCACACAGAAACCAAAACATTTACAACCTCCCGTTCCCGTCACCCACCGCAGCGCCAGTGCCAACGAGAGACCTTGGAAGCCTGTCCATCGTAACACAGCTCCTCAGCAGGCACACGCGGCGTGTTCTTTAAACAATGTTGACATGCCAAAGGCTGGGACCGTGCGCACCCTATCACAACAATGCCAGTCTCCCTGGCCAAAGGCCAGGAGTCAGCACAATGCTAAAGTCCTCGTTCAAAGCCTTACTACGAGCGGAGATAGCTTGGCAAATGCAGGAGCCTCAGCGTCTCCAGCGCAACCTCTGATTATTTTGAATATTTGTTAACAATTAATTCTGAAACAGGCAACACAAAACCGGTTTCTGAGGTCCCTGGAAGCGTTTGCAAAGCTTCTCGGTGTCACTCCCCCAAACGAGACAACTATTTCCACTGAAACGTGACTTCTGAGTGCTTCATTTGGAGAGCAGCAGCTCAGTCCCGCCACCTGAACACCGTGACTTTTCACTTCTCTGCCCTCCCTTTTTTTCCCCTTCCCCTGCACCGTGGCTGCTAGATTTAAATGTCTTCTGACTCCCCTGGCAGGGTTCACTCTACACTTTCCATGACACCGAGTAAGAGTCAAAATATTGCCCAACAGCAATTTATTTACATTGGTTCCAAATTGCTAGTTTTTTGCAGGAAGATATCCCAGACACGCACGTTCTTTCAAAGCATTAACAGCAGCAAGTCTGGCAGACCAAAAAGTTCTTGCCCTGCTAGATTCACCGGCGTTTTCAAGGCACAACAGACAGCAGTATAATGGAAAGGAAATACTTGGGGAGCAGGAGAAGAAATACAGAAAACTGTCACAGTTGCTACAGATGTAGCAATACAGTATCAACGTTTCATTCCCAGCTTTAGCTGAGTCTTTTCGGGGGAAAAAAGTATCCGATATTTAGCACCAGGGAACTGAAGCCCTGGAGGACAGCAGCAACTGCTGAGTGCTGCCTGCTTGAGAGAGAAAGCTGAACGAAGTAGCGTGACAGTCTATTGAGAACTGTTCTGTGACTGTTCTCAGTTACAGAGCTTTAACCACGATTCACAAGCAAGCAGAAAACTGTACATAAACAGCACAGGCTTACCTTTACTCGCAGGGGTGAGAGAAGTCAGTTTTGGAGGCGGCGAGGAAAAGCAAGGGGAAGCCCACCGAGAGGGCGAGGAGTTTGGGGGAAGGTGAGGACGGCTGCGGGGCCAGCAGCCCGAAGGGCTCAGACAAACGCGGTGGTTTGCTGCGGCTACCGATAAAAGGGGCTGGTGCCTTCATCGCACATCACTTGGGCAAATCCGTCCGACTCCCAGCCGATCAGAGGAGGGGTGATTTATAACCCACGGCCAGCGCGGTGTCGGTTTCGCCACCTTCCACCCAGCCTCCTACACGACCCCGGGGGCTGAGCGAGCCCCCGGAGAAAGTGCCGGGGAGGCACAGAGACAGGAGCAGAGGGGCTGGGACAGCTCCCCCCCTGCTGCACTCAGCCGGGGAGCACCCCTCTGCCTCCTGGGCAGCGGGAGGAGGAGGATGAAGAGCAGGAGGAGGAGGAGGAGGAGGAGGGGGAGGAAGGCTGCGCTCTGCGTGCATCATCACGGGGAGCTGCCCTTGTGAGGAGGGCTCGCCGAGCTCAGGGGAGCGGCTCGGGGTCCGTCCCCTCTGCCCCCACAGGGACATTTTTGGGTGTTTTTTGTTGTTGTTGTTGATTTTTCGATTTTTTTTTTTGGGGGGGGGTGGGGGTACCCCCCCCCCCCCCAGCTGCCCGTTTTTTCCCCCCCGCAGCCACGTTGTGCGCACAGCAGGCTCGTAGCAAGGCGGGGAGCAAAATAAGAGGGAAAAACACACAAAAAAGGGAAAAATAATAAAAAATGAAAAAAAATAAATTAAAAAAAAAAGGAAAAAGGGGAAGGCAGGCGGCGAGGCTCGCCCCCCAGGAGCGGGTTTCGCTTCCCCCCCCCCCCCAACCCCGCCTTTGTGTGGGCCGGGGCCGGCAGCGCCACAAAGCCGGGCCCCGGCTGCCGGCGCCCCCCGCCCGGACAAAGCCGCGGGGCCCCCCCGGCGCCTCCCTCCGGCGGCCGCCATGTTGGGGGCTCCTCGGCGACCACCCCCCGGCGGCCGCCCCGTCCCTCCCCGCGCCCCTCTCCCCCTTCAAATCCCTCCCTCTCTCTCCCTCCCTCCTCCTCCTCCTCCTCCCGGCCCCGCACGGCCGCCGGCAGCCGCCCTGACCTGCGCCGCCGTCCCTCCGCCCAGCCGCCGGGCAGCCCGCACCGCCCCGCGCCGCGCCGCGCCGCGCTGCCCGCTCCTACAGGGCCGCCATCTTGCTTCCTTCTGCTCCGCGCCCGCCGGGACCCCGCACCCAGCGGCACGCGGCGCCCTGACGTCGGCGACCGCCCCGCGCGCCGCCCCGCGCGCGCACCGCTCCCCCCCCCCCTTCCCCTCCTTCTCCGACGGCCGCGCGCCCCCGTCACGCGGCCGCGGGGGCGGGCGCGGGCGCGAGCGCGGGCACGCGCCTGGACCCCCCCCTCCCTTTTCCTCTTCCCCTTCCCGCCCCGGTTCCGGCCCCAGGGGCTTTCCGCGGGGCTCTGCCCACGGTTGCCCTTTTCTCGGGCTTTTAAACATTTTTTTTTCGGGCTTTAAAGCCTTTTTTTGGGCTTTTCAGCCTTATTTTTGGGCTTTTCAGCCTTTTTTTTTTTTTTTTTTTTTGGCTTTTAAGTCTTTTTGGGGGGCTTTTCAGCCTTTTTTTTTTTTTCTGCCTTTTTTTCTTTGCCCTTTTTTTTTTTTGCTTTATTTCCTTTTTTTCTTCCATTTTTCTTCTTCTTTTTTTTTTCTTTTGCTCTCTTCCTTTTTACTTGGCTTTTTTTCCCCTTTCTTATTTCCCCCCTCCCACCTTTTTTCCGTCTTTCTTTAGTTTTCTTCCTTTTTTCTTTTTATTTGGCTTTTTTTTTCTTTTTATTTGCCCTTTTTCTTTTTTTTTCTTTCCCTTTTTTATTTTTATTTGCCCTTTTGCTTTTTTTCTTTCCTTTTTTCTTTTTATTTAGCACTTCTTTCTTTTTTTCCCCCTTTTTTCCTCAATTTTTCTTCATTTTTCATTTCTTTTTCACTTTTGTCCTTTTATTTGGCTTTCTCCTTTTTTTTTGCTTTTTTTGCTTTATTTCCCTTTTTCATTTCTCTTTTTCTCCTTTTTTTGCTTTTTTTTTCTGACTTTTTTGTTTTCTTTTGATTTTTTGCTTTTTACTTCCCTTTCCCATTTTTCCTCTTTTTTCCTCTTTTATTTTTTCCTTTTCCTTTTTTCATCTTTCCTTTTTTCTTTTTCTTCCTTTTTTTTTTTCTTTTTCTTCCCTTCTTTTTTTCTTTTTCTTCCCTTCTTTTTTTCTTTTTCTTCCCTTTTTTTTTTTCTTCCTTTTTTTTTTCCTTTTTCTTCCTTTTTTTCTTTCTCCTTTGTTCTTTTTTTCATTTTTGTGGGCTTTTTTGCTTTTTATTTCTTTTTTTTCTCTTGTTTTTCTTTCCTTCTTTTCATTTTTATTCCTTTTTTTTTTTTCTTCGACCCCTTTTCCTTCTCCCGCCCCAGCAGGCCACCCCCGGGGGCCGTGCATCCCCCCGGGTCCAGCAGCCCCTCACCACCAGACCACCTGAGAAGCGGGCAGTGTCAATGGGTAACACGTTGGCTATTGAAAAACCATACGAAAACACAACAAAACAAACAAACTCCTGCATTTTCCCCACAGGACAACCCCCCTGAGCAAGACCCAGCTCCCCGCATCTCCCCGGCCTCCTCAGCAGGTGTCAGACCCCGGCTTGGCCTCCCGCTGCCCCAGACACTGAGGGGCTGCCAAACCCATGCCCTCGGGCTCCCAAAACACCACCTGGGTGCCCTAACTGGAGCGGCTCTACCTGGGCGGGCACTCTGGGGACAAGGAGGGCCTTTTGGGGCCGCAGGGTGCTCCCACCCCACCCCACCCCACAGGCCGCTCGGTTCCCCCCAGCCCTGGCCCAGCAGCAGGGCGAGCAGGGCAGAGCGCTTTTTAGGAAGCTCGAGTGGTCGCAGAAGTGATTTGCTTTCCGCATCACGGGTTGCTGCCCGAGTTTTGGTTTTGCTTTAATTTCTGCAGAGGCTGCCAGGAGCCGCCCGGAGGTGCGAGGCTCCCCCTGCCACCCGCCCTAACCTGGTCGTGCTGCCGGCGCCGTTTCGGGCCCCAGGTGGTGCCAGGGTTTTGGCCCGCGTGCCCTGCCCCGTATGGAAATACACGGCTTTTGGAGACAAAGGTCTTTGTGTTTGCTTCCGTGGACCTGACTTCGGCAGCGTCTCGCACAGCCCAAACCTGTGCAAATAAGCTCGGGCTGTCTCTTTCCAGCGGAGCAAACGACACAAAGAATGGGCAAGGTCTCTCTGGATCTTGCCACTTTTGTGTGTGTGTGTTTGTGCCTTCACAGCACCTGCTTGCTCTCCAGCAGGCTTCAGCCGGCGTTTCAAACTCCTTTAAGTCTTCATCCCGGGGTTGCTTCCCCCCCCCCCGGCGTGGCACATCCAGCTGACACCTCGGGTGCAAAGTGCGGCTCCCTGCGCTCAGCAGGCTCCCCGACGGCTCACCTCCATCCCCTGCTCCTTCTCCCTCTGCTCAGCACCAGCCAGGCCTCCCCCAGCTGCTTTTCCACCGTGTTTGCAGGGAGCCGACCCCCCCCGGCACAGCCTGAGCCCGTCCCAGCTGAAGGAAGGGGTGCCTGGATTTGGCACTTGGTTTTTGGACCCTGCCCTGCGCCGCCGGCTTCGAGCCCTTTGCTCAAGCGAGCAGCTGGCGAGCTGGGTGGGTGAGGTGAAAGAAAAAAAAAAAGAAAACCAACAACACGCCAACCACCCCGAAGCTACCAGCGGGGTTTTTACGCCGAGACGGGATTCTCTGCTGTTCTGCCCGTGCTCCTGTGCTCGAGATAAGAAGGAGACAACTCGTGCGTATCTGACCTGCACGTACGAGTGTGGGAGAAGCGTGCATTTTTTACATGCTTCCTGTCATAGGTGTGGTTCGCTTCTCTATTCTCTTCTTTCACCCTCCTGGTTGTTTTTTTTTTTTTCTTCTTTTTTTTTTTTTTGTGTTGTTTTGTTTTGAACTTCCCTGCCCCGATCACAACCCACTGTAATCACCCGGCTGGATGAAACCCGGAGCTGAACCGGCCTCCCACCAGCCCGGGCGCGCTCCCCTTCCCGGCGCGGTGCTGCTAAGCTCTCTTGACCTACAAGCCTCCTCATTGACCCGCTGCCCTCCCGTAGTCCTGCCACGTTTTGACAGACCGCAGGACCTTTTGGCTTCCAAACCAGCTGCTTTCTGCTACGCGCGCCTCTGCCAGCCGCGGCTCGCTGCACGCTGTGGGTTTGCTGCTGCCTGGGAGCAGCCCAAGGGGAGAGGCGCGGGTCCGAGCTCCCTCCTGGAGCAGCCCCGTTGACTTCCACGCGTTTTATCGAACGAGAAGACTTGACCCATTTTATCTTGCCACGTCTCTGCCTGTCGAACGGGGAGGAACAAGTGCCTGAACTTGACCGCAGCGCCGAGTGACCTAAAACCTCCCCACATCCTCACCCTAAAAGAGCTGGGGGGAAAAAGACGATGAAACAGCGTGGTTGCTGCTAAATGTTTAGGCTTAAAATCCTAAACCTCGGCCCAGGGCTGGCCATCCTCCCAAGCCATAGCCTCCCGCAGCAGGTCTCTTAAAATCCAGAGAAGAAAGCACGCCCTGCGTGTCTGTGTGATGGAGCAGCGAGCTCCGGACCGTGCATCCACCAGACCTGCTCGCTTCTTGAGGTATCCACAGGAACTAAAAAAGGGGGAGAGGAAAAAGAAAGAACGCCTCATTCACCTCCTGAACGTGCTGTTCCCAGCCTGAAGCTGTGCGTGTGTTTCAAAAAAAGCTGCAAAGGGAGAACGTGCAGCTTCTCTGAAAAGGCACTTAAACCAGGCACTACTCTGGAGCCGATTGTGCCAGGCAAACCAGGTGGGTTTCTGCCTCTGTAAGCAGTGAAAAGGAAAAGGCAGCAATTCCAGCTTCGAACGATTACATGCATGGAGTCAAGGGTCCTGCCAAAAGGCAGGTATTTGGGGGAGCAGTTTCAGGTTCTCCATGAAATTGTGCTCCTTCTTTCCCCGGGTGAAACCATCCTCAGTGCACGGCTGGGACGTTTCACAGGCAAAGTGTCCGTTCAAAAGCAGCCTGCCACTTGGCAGCGGGAGCGTTTGTGCGTGCAGTTATGCATCACACACACTAATTGGATGGACAGGTTAAAAAACCACCTGTGCCCGTGTCTTAAAGGTGTCTTAAAAAGTGATTGCTGTGCAATGGGGGATGCCGAGGCCGCCACCGATCAGAGGGCCCCGGACTGAAGCAGCTTAAGGGCTGTAGAGGGCAGCTTCAGAAAATTCAGGATGCTTTCAGGGCATCTCAAGCGGGGGAATCCCCTGTACGAAGTGTTTGCTTTCAGCCCCGCTTTTCCGTTTGTAAATAAGGCGACTAACGTGCCTGTATCGGCAGAGGGATTTAGGGAAGATAAACAGATTTGTCTTTAATTCCTTCAGAAGCTGTGCCAGAGGTACGGAAAATAAACAGGAAGCGTTGGGAGCCCAGCAGAGCTGCAGCAGCACGACGTGCCCGGAGGCCTGGGGGACAAGCCACAGGTTGGTGTACGGGCAGAGGGGCACGGCTCGCTTAGGGAAAAGGGCAAAGGGGGATCCTACACCAGGAGAACCATCTATGGACCTTGGAGAAGATGCTCGGGGCGCAGAGGGGATGGCTGAAAACACTTTTAGTAGTTGTGAGGTCCTTGACCTGGCAGACAACGGCCAAGCAAAACGCCCCAGACAGCGGCTAAAGGTAGATTCCTGCTAAAAGGTTCTGATTTTTCAGAGCAAGCAGAGCTTTTTCTCAATTCACTGCAGGCAGGGGACGTGG